TAATACAAGTGAAGAAACAAACATCACCAGCCCCTTGGGGGAAAGGAGTCCTGGTGGCTCGTGTTGCACCAAAGTTCACATTGCAGTAGAACTGCAAGCCTCACAGTAAGCCCATCCTGTGTCTCATACCACGAGTAGCGCGTCCAAAGATAAGCACGCTTGATCCGCGCAATACCTCTTTTTCCAAGCGATAAGTACCTCTGTCTGTCTCGGAAGCACTTCTGGACACAACACTCGATATGTGTACTCCTCGTGTCATTGTTCGTAATTGTGTAAAGTTTCGTGTCGATCGGTTAGGTATGGGGCGCGTTCTCGTGTTAAGCTTGCCGCGCGTGCACACCACAGGAGGTTCGGCCGCAGCAGGGGCATGATATCATTTTTTCCATTTTTTCGGCAGAGTCTCGGAGTCTGTGCCGAGCAGTTCTCGCGCTATAGTCAACGAAATTCCGTGAAACCAGCTTTCCTGAATAGCTACTGGTCTATTTTACTGCTGTACGCCGACAAAGATGGCAGTGCGGACGTCTGATCGCCGGTGGGCTAGCCAACTGCCATTTTTTTGTGTTGAGCCGCTTATTTTTTTTTTCATCAGGCGTGCAACACTGCACAGCAGACACCGGCATACATTGTTAGGGGCACCGTGTATCAATCCATGTGGTACCTAAATATGTCGTCACCCCCTCCGCTCGCTCGGTCGGTCGGCGTCGCATCGGCGCAACCAGTATCACACAGGACACGACCGGACGAAAGGAGCGATCACGGGAGAGCCCACGTAGAGCCAACCTCTCTTCTGTTTCAGGTATTTTCTCCGGTGTTAGTTGTGTGTCTCGTGTGTTTTTTCATCGATGGTAGAGCGAGGAGACACGGCTACCGGCAACCCAAGCTGTTGTGCTGTTTTTCGTTCCTACTGCCGTGATTCGACCGCATCAGACACTGCTGTAGAGAGCCATCCACAGCAGCAAACACTGACACCTCGTTGACGTGGCGTTTAGGTGCTCGACAGCAGCCTTTTGCATTTGGACATCTCTTATTTTCCTATACACAGTTACTGATCCTCGACTACCTCTGATAGTGCACGCTTGACACCAGCCGAATTGTTATGTACGGCGGCTTGAGCGTTGTGTTGTATACACAACTGCTCCGTGGTGTGTGCTTTTCCAAGCACTTGCAGCAACCATAACGTGCGACGGCCGGATCTGGTGTGCCATACAGAAGGAGGGCCGTGGTTTTGTCTTGCCCTTAATCTTACCCAAAGTTCCACGGTTTGCCTCACGAAGGCAGCAGCCTCGCGCTCTCTCTCGACACTTTGTTTAGATCGTCCTTGCGCAGAGGGCGGCGGTGTTGTATATGAAAAGTTTGAAGTCCGCCGGGCATTGGACTGAGCATTGGCAGCGCGAGTGTTGTGCATAAGCTCTCCGCAGCACACCCGAGTTTTCGACGACTCCACATGATAGAGATCGCTGGAACCCGTTCGGCGTTTCTGAGGTGGTTGAAGACGGGAACGAATCCCTACTACCTTGCGTCCACCCTACCGCTTGGGTTTGTGCAGGGTGTTGTTTCCCCATCCACGCCGTTTCGTCAACTGGCCGCAGGCTCCATATTCAGCACGTTGAACATACATGTAACCGCCTACAATTGAAGGTTTTTGCGAACACGGAAAAGTCCCCTGGACAAGCGAGCTCTCTGCCCGACGTATACATGCAACCACGCGACTTCCTCGTGTTGTTGAATGTAGCCCTCTAGCGCAAGGTAGATGTAGATATATTCCTCTCCACCTCTATTATACCTTGTGACGATCCTCGATGTTCGTCGACAGCGACCTACCTCCCCTGTTCCTTCAACGCTCGCTTCGATTAGGCGTCTGATTTTGCGGCTACTGCCTCTGTAGCTATTTGCTGCTGTGGTCGGATGGTGCACCTGGGAACGGTGGTTTCGGCGGCAGGCCTATTGATTCTTCTCCACGCTGGCTATTCCGCCGCACACTTCCAGCAGTTCAAGAAACCGTCGTCGACATTGGGGGGCGGCGGCGGCGACTCGGCTCCGCTCGACGCGGCCCTCGAAGCCCTGGTCGGCTTCTTCGTCTGCGTGTTTGGCGTCTTGTACAGCGCCGACGCGCTGTTGCCCATCAAGGGGGCCGCGGGGGGCGGGAAGTCGCTGGACTCGGCCGAGTCGACGCGAGAGTTTGAGGTGTTTGAGCACAGGGGTAGATCGCTGAGGAGACGGGTGGCGAGCCAAAGGTGATTTGGTGTTAAAATCTTCTTGGTATTAAATTTGTTGTCGAAAACATGAACGTGATCTTGAACTTCATTTGTTTTTGGTTCGTTGCCTTGATTTCTCTTTGGATTCTTGTGTTTTTCGTGTTTTGAGCAACACGGCAGCTGATGAAACGAGGCTTTCAGGGGTGATCGTGAGAGCGAGAGATAGAGAGGGGAAAAAGCGGGCATGTTATCGCTTCGGTGATTGCCACCTTTCGGTCGTGCGCCTATTGGGAATGCGAGACAGGCGCTATGGCCATGCAGGAAATGTTTTCGTGCTGCCCCTGCTAGTGTATCCTCTGCTGAAGGACGGGAAACAAGCATATGATACTTTCCTTCGGTTGGGATCGCAGCTTGCCTCGGGCAACCGTGCTGGTCCTCTACAATTGTTTTTTTTGTATCTCATTTCCACCGGGCGTTGCAACCGCGGAATTTCAGTTGAACGGTAGTCATCACTTGTTGCCATCAGGTGACTCAAGGTGATGCAGAGAGCACAGACATGAAGACAGTTGAAGGACAGGAAACAAGCATGATATTTTCCTTCGATTTAATATTGCCTTCGAACGGAGAGAGGTGTGACAATGCGGAGGGGTGACCCAGCGACGATTATCCCAGAAGGGCTTAACGGCACTGCCACTAACGGCACGCTGTTTCCAGAACCTACTCGTCTCCTCAGGAGGACCCTCTGTTGTTGGTTGTGATTCCTCGATATCGAACATCTGGCGTGGAACGCGCTGTCTCGCCGCTACGGGTTTTGAGCACTTTCGTATCGCTGTGCAACTTTTTTCTGTGCATGTAAACCACAGGCTCAAATTATTAGGTGGGGTACCTAAGCCAGATCTGATCGGTGGTATGTGCCCTGGATGTGGCGTGACCTGGACTTGACGTTTGCTTGTGTCGGGAACCAGCGCGGCGGGGTCTTCGGGCGTGAGACAAGAAGATTGGCTTCGACCAGCCAACCCCGAACACGAAAATGTCAAGCGCGTGTATAGTACCGGCAGGTCCAGCCAGTCGCCTCAATAACAACACGAACATGCGGTCCACCCCTAGACGGACGGTCAAGAGCCGGGGGCTGTGGGTTTTGCAGGGTTTCAGGCTCGAAAGCCGCACTTCCACACAGCAGTACCACTGATGTGGATGGAAAAAGAAACCGCCCACCTGAGATCTAGTCAGGACGATGGCCTGCGAGACGAAAACGAGAGAGGTTTGCGTAGCGTTGTCGACACACACGAGTGCGCGGGGAAGACCCTGAAGAAGGGACATCGATGAAAGTAATCGCATTATCAACAACTGTAAAAAACAAATACGGTTGAAATTTGAGCGGGTGCCGACACTAAAAACTACTTACGAAGTATTGAGCAGGTGCCACGCACGCACCCATCACCCGGACAAACGGCAACGAAAACTGAACAAATAACAAAAAACGGACATCAAAAGCTGTGCTGTAGTTTTCCACTGGATGCATGCCTGGCGTGCCTCCATTTCTTTCTCCGACACGCCTTGTACTCCTCTCTCGCCGCACACGCGAGGTACTTTCACGAACTCCTTGCTAGATTCTTCGAGCAATTAACCCGGCGGGTACATGCTATTCAACGTAGATAACGCTCGGTAAACCCGCTTCCCTGAAACATTCTGACTCATCGTGTCGCACGTTCTCTTCTCGCGATGTTCGATGAGGCAACCCTCCCAGCCTCTATGTACATAACCAACCGTCGCCCACACGCAAAACTCCAAATTTGCCGGGGGGCTCGAGTTGAATTTCCTCTTCGAGGAAACCAGCATCGATTGACTATTGAATAGACGTTGTCGGGGTGGGGGGGGATTAGCCGAATACCACGTTGGTTTGGGTCAAGTTCTAGCTGTAAAAAAATATTCTAGGCTCCAGTTCTAAAGATTCAAGTTCTGAAGTGGGGGCTGTGTAACTGCAGTCCTGATTCGAAAATGGGAGATTCAAATAAACCATCATGAATGACTGGTAACACCATACACTGAGAATCCCGCCACACAATCCAAGCAATGCAAAAAACTGTCAAGATGCCATACTCAACCACCTTTGCCGGCGATTCAAGAACGTTCATGTCGAAAACGAAGCAGGAGGGGCAGGGCGGGTGCGCGCGGGGCGGGGGGCGTTCGAAACATGTTCAGCAAACAACTTGTAGTGTGTGGCAATTCCGAAGATAGCCAAGGAGAGACTGCTGCTGGAGGCCAAGTAACGCGAGTTTCTACGTGGCGGGAAATCCCTACCTTGAGTCCGGAGTGTCCCTGCGCTTCCCTAGACAGTGAAGGTTTGGCAGAAAAATTGTCGGTCGCACACTGGCATCGATGATGACATTGACGCAGCTCGACTTTCGACAGATTCTTGATTTTGAGTTTTTCTCTGTCTTGCCATTTATGCTTAGCAGCTTCTACACAGAACGTCCTTCATTTTCGGCAGCACTTGGATGTGAGTGCAACGCATCTGTCCCTACGCCAGGGAAAAGTGCCGCTATTCAATGTCAGAGCAGTCCTCTCCGCGGGGGGAACCTCCGAGGTTGTGGTGGTAAAGCGCGAAAAACCGAGAACCCTCACCTTCGGTAGTTGCTCTCGAGCGTCGTGACCCAAATCTTGTCTTTGCAGAACTCGGAAAACACCGTCTGACGCGTGGAAGTGGATGGTTTTGTTGTTGAAGGCAATAGCACGGTGGACAAGAGGGCAAAACAATGGGGAGGTTGTTGTCAAGCACGGGGTGAGCTGGCTCCGTCGAGGGTAGTAGGAAGGAAACCTCCGATTTGACATCAATCGCGGATGACTCGACGTCATCAACAACTTGTAACCGAACTGCCGCCCCGTGGTAAGATGTCGGTTGTTTTTTCCCCCACTGTCGTGTGGTATGTGGTGTTGTAGTCATTGACTCAATCCCGTTGACGGCGAGTGTGACGTCACGCTGTTCGTGGTCTTACCGCGCACGGCCTCACGACAAAATTGACAAAGTCGCACTGGCTCTTGGCCTGGTTGTGCCCCTCGCGGCTGCACAGCGGAGACACCGGCACTCCTCTCTCCGCCTCTAGGTCGCCTTGGCGATGGAACTCCTCTGAAACAGCAAACAGAGGAAGATGAGATACCGCATGAGTGGCTTTCGTGTTGAGTTGGGATGGGAAATGGGCAACGGGTACGACGTACCAGAGAGACTAGTGTTCGAGACAAACCGCGCGGGCAAATCGTAGACGGCAATAGCATTGACCAAAGGATGCCTTCGTCGTTGACGTCGTGTGAACACCGCACGTGTCGTAGTCGTTGTGTACAGCTACTCCATGCACGAACACATCTTCCTCGTTCTCACCAGTAATTAGTCTTGTCCATCTCTCGTGCAAATCCCATGGTTTCATCGGATGAGACACGTCGGCCACCTTTTCCCGTAAGACGTTTTCGTGCAGCAAGGATAGCGGGGGAGGGGAAGGGGATGGGGGCAGTTGAGAGGGTCATACGTTGCTGCGTGTTGCTCGTCTAGTGGTGCTGAACGTTGATGATTCATCGCAGTTTCAAGGGGGTACATACTACTTCTAACGAGAGCAGACCATCAAGGTGGCAGCACTGCCGCACCACATATCCATATCCCTTACCCCACCCCCCAAAACACGATGTTCCCGCGAAAAGTAGCGACATGAACGCCTCCGTGTGTTCACCCGTCCATCCGTTCATCGTTGAGTTGACTCTTCGACACTGTATAATCAAAATAGGTACCAAAAAAACAGATAACCTCACAGCTGAGAGCTATCCATGCATCCATCCGCCCATCCATCAACGAAGGTCATCAAAGCCGCGGCCGACTGCAAGTCGGTGTGGCAAGCGACCAGATGAACTCATCGGCCGATCCGTCCATCGATGCTGAACGATGACATTGTTGCACGCTCACCTTTATGACCATCTGCATGAGCAGAATCTGTGCCTGGAGCGGATCCTTCGTTGCCCCTCCCTTCGGCGCGCCCATCACCCCCCCGGGGCTCCCCGGCGCCCCGATCAAACCCGGTGTCGATGTTCCCTCCCGCCCCATGTCGGGCACGATGCTAGCTCTCCTACCCCCCTTCGACGTTGTCGACGCCTTAAACCGAGCAACGTACTCAAATCCGCGAGCGAGATCGGTTGCCAGGATTATCTGCAGGATCGAGGAGGAGGTGGTTGGGCTCAGTTGGTTTGACTGACTAAGGTGGTTTGGCTAGCAATGGGTCCAACGAGGGTTAGGAAGGCCTCAATCAGGCGAGGTTACTGGCGGAACGGAAAGGGAAAAACTTGTGTCGTCGAGCCCGTCGGCGAGATCGGTTGCGAGGACTGTCTTGTTGGTGCCAATGTCTGTTTTGCTTCCTTCCAATCGTCCAAACAAATTGGCTGCGGAAAGGGTTAGGCAAGGTTGGGTTAGGTTTGGAAAGGTTCGTGCATCGCGTTCTTTGCTCGTGCATGTCGGCGACGTCCGTCTGGCGGCTCTTTTGGTCCGGCTACTTGTAGTCTACTCTTCCCTTGAGGGGGCTATGGTGTGAATGACCGGCAAGACCATTGTGCTATGTGCTCGACCGAGTCAATGGTGGCGTTGACCGTCACAAACATACTGGCGCTAACTTTGCTTTGCATGGTCATAACATGCTGTGCACTAGCTGGTCTATGCTTTCTCTTGTTGCTGAGTTCAAACAGGAGCAACGCAAAGATGTGCGTGTCTTGATCACGGCCGCAATTCTGATTCGGGGTGAAATGGGATGGGATATTGGTATGGTAGTTGTTTAACAGTCAGTACGATACGCCGGATGGCAAAAAAGAGAACAAACCGCTGGGCTAACACACATCATGTCGACCAAAAGCGCCTAACTGCGCTGACAGGCAGCGAACAACTCAGGCCAAACACCTTTTTGGGCTCCTGTCTAACTTGGAGTGAACTACTCGGCAATTCGAAAAGCACTTGTTCGACTCGTCGATTTATCCTAACGTCCGTTCGGGCACACCTTGATGACAAGTTGCCGGAAATGTCTCGCGTCATCGGCACTTAGTCCGTCCAAGATGTTGGTCTCCTCGTGATACAGCACCTTGAAGGCCTCCGAGATGTGGAAGTTCTCCAGCACCGAACCGTCGTTGTACCTTGTGGCTAGGGCGTCCTTAACCTGATGCATTTTTGTCACGGAAAGTAGGTGCTCTTGTCGACAGTGCTGCTCTTGGTGATGTTTGGGAGTGACCTCCGGACAACAAGAACCAGAAAAGGAATTCTTGAATCTTGGACATTGTCGCGGGTTGGTCTCAATGCTCCTGTTGGGATAATATCTTCGGTCTCGGTATCACGTATTTGTCTTCTTCGAAGTTTGATCTGTCTTCCTTATGGAATCGGTGATGACTCTAACGACTTGTTCAACCCGTGATCACACAATGACTCAGATAACGAGCGGGCGAGCAAACCATACACGACAAGACATTGCGACGAAACGTGTCATTGCTTCCACCGTCAGGGTGTGAATTACTATTCAAATAGGCGCGGTATGTAGGTGCGCATGGCCATACCTTTATCAAGTAGCCGTTGTTCACTCCCCTGTGTCGGTAGTCGTGCACGATCGCTGAGACGAGCAAGGCAAAGCCTTGCAACGCTTTGATTCCCGAAGCGATTATCTGATCCAATGGAGAGAAAGGGAGGGGGCGAGAAGGAAGCAGAGAGAGAGCAACAGCGCTAAGTAGCTGATACAAGAGGCCAGTCAGACTCGTGACCAAGTGAGTTCGTTTCTTGTTGTTGGATTTGTTTTCGCGGTCGCTCTCGCTTCTTGCGTCTTTTTTTTTTCCGATGGATGACAGTCTCTTGTTGATCAGACATCGTACATACTTTTTTTCCAGTGAAATGCAAGAATGCAGAAGCGATTCCGAAAAACGGATGATAGTCCCTCCGTCGCGTAGGCCCGTGTTTTCGGCGTCCTTCATTACGGGAGAAAACCTCACCTGATAGAAAACAAAACCCAATCACACCTCCACTACCTTCGCAACGCCAACTAAACACCAACATCAACATAGACGCAAGAAACGAGAATAACGGATCCACTTCTCACCGAGTTCTCGCAAAAATGCGCCACGGTGAGCGTGACGTCGGCGGCGTGAACGGAAGTGTGGTACGGGTTGGGAGCCGCGGGGTCGTAGCAATAGTTCTGTTCCACGTGGGTCAAGAACCGGGACAAGTTCTGCGGTTCGAAGTGGCACCACCAGGGTAAACGAGCGGTGGGCGGGATGCGAAAGGTTGAACGAAAGAAAGAGTATTTCCGACTCGAAGAACGAGTGATTTCCATGCAGTTGGGTCGCCAGAAGATGGAAACTGCGGGCGATGGCCAGAGCATCAGATGATGATCTCGCAATCATCACGAGGCCTTGAGATGCAGCGTTATGGCCGGATGGCAAGGGGGAGAAGCAGTCCAGTTTGGACGAGGCCAACGCTAGCTCTCGTGGGAGGCGTTCCCTTACCACAGACGCAGGAAATGCGGGAGGCAATTGCAATACCGTCCGGCAGCTGGTTGTGTCTAGGATGAAGTTCCGACGAGCTTTCTGCTTGTTCGAGGGGAAAAGAAACCTCTTCCCACGTACTTGTGGATACACGCCTCAAAGTTCAATTTCGGTGGTTTGTGCGAGAACCTAAGGCAGCTCGTGGAGCTACGTGAAAGCAACTTCGTATAATCATCCTACGGGGTTAGATTTCAACAAACCCAACAACAACAACAACATCGGCGGCGACGAGGACGACGAGGACGACTACAACAGCAATATCAAGGCGACAGCGAACAGCGGCAAGTGCGGCCGTGCTTTCACTTCCGTCTCACCGCCGGGTTGATGTTGAAGACGCCAACGAAGTTGTAGTGGCAGAGCGTTAGGGTCCCCGTGTACCAAAGCGCATGCCCCCCCGACAGTTCCTACGAACAGATAGGCAGATGGAAACAATGGGACGGGCACCAAAGGTACATGATGGAGATGGTGAGTTTCGCAACGTTTGTTTGTACAGAGTACGTTTCGACTATGTATCCCTGCTGAATACGGTCGAGGCAAAAGTGGGCAAATAAATGCGGAACACACCACATTTTTGGCGTTCGTGCTTGTGACATTTATGCAGAGCGGTTGACGAATGAGGGGTTACCGCATGACGCCCTAACGGAGGGAATTCCTACAAGGGTGACTGCGGTGTGCAAACGAGGCTGGCTATATTCACAGCTTCCCAACAGTCAGGGCCGAACCATGGTCATGAAAAAAACGTAGTGTGTCTAACCCTAACCTCGGAGACTACTTGGGATACCAGATCAGGAGTCCGGCCCCTAGGCTTAAGCGAAAAAACAACCAGACAAACACGCATACGGTAGCTATTTATTGGTGACAGCATCACAACAAGTTGAAAAAACACTTTGGCTTGGAAAACAATCATTTCGATTGGAAGCAGAGCACATTAGTTGGACACAAGGGTAACGAATACCTCCAGCTTAAAGACGTCGAACCCCCAGTCCAGGAAATGTCGGGTTGTGATGTGATCCACCAGGGCCTTTTGCGCCTCCGGTGCTATTCCCGGCCACACCGGCATCAAGTCGAGAAGCGCCTGCCGTTTACAGAAGAACAAAATGTATCAAAGGCTGTTGGTGCGCTGCTGTCTCTAAGGGTCGTCCACGACATCCTAGACGCAGAGATTATCGATGAGCGAAACGACCCAGCGCCTACCTATTTGCAAGTTACCACGTCAACTGCTGCAAACGTTTTTGTCAATGTAGACGAGGGTTCAATACGGTGTAGATAGTGAACGCCTGCTACCTCCCGCTGGCGTCAATTTGTTTTGACGACAGTTCTGTTTTCCAAGGCTGTTTTTTGCTTGCCGCACAGCGTACGCGAACAAGCAGTGCAACATACTATTCCAAGGCCCCATCGCATGACTTCGAGCTCCGTAAAACATACCTAGCACGACTGTGGTTGGTCACGGAAGCGCGCACATTAGAGGCTGCCCATTGTACATGAGCTCGGTGGGGCACGCGTGCGTACCAAGTCGATGAACTCATGCATATAATCAGGATTCCAAAACATTCACCGATTGGTTAGAAGTGACGGGAACAACACGACGCGGCGACAGGGTGTTGCCTCAGGGGGCTCGAAACCTGCAGTTTCAGATCTATCAAAGTTACCTCGTGCTCGGCGTGTTCTTCATCTTCTGTTTCCTCGTCCATCTGGCTGTTTTCGTCTATCTCGTACAGAACGGAGCCCACCCCTGGCTTGGTCCTTCCGGTACTTCGCGCCCCCTGTAGCAACCACCGATCGACACAAGTACGTTCAGAGAAATCCGCTGTGTGAATAGTGACGAGTGCAATGTTGTGAGGAACGCCGACCGGATATGCGTGGTATTGCTGTGGAGGTAGTGGTGACCTTGTGCCATTATTTTCAACAGCAACAAATGGCTGAACGACGGGTATTCAATATCAGCGTGAGAAAGAAAAGCCAGTTTCATATTAAAAGACTTGAACTGAGCACCGACAACTGCAAAAAGGGCTGACACTGGTTCACGTACAGTTCCCGGCAAGTTTTCTAGTAGGCGGAAGCCTGCAACGTTTCTCGTGGCGGAAGCCAGCCCTCTGAAGGGATTTTTAAAGGAACCTAAAGAATGTGTCGGCCGTAACCAACCCTTGATCAACAGCGGAAGAACTCAATCGTACCGTAGGCACCAAAGCGATACTCACAGGAAGGGCCATGAGCTGGCTGACGTTGATGTTGGCAGATTGTCGCCTCGATCTCCCCGCCGCCGCCTTCTCCATGTTGTACGCCCGCCCGACCTGAGAGCGACAGGACGAATTCGGTGTACGGGTGAAAACGATATAGTTAACCATGAAATTAGTTCAATCGCCTGTCGCCCCAGGCCGGAATGCTCGCGTACTATGTTCAACGTTCCTCGTTGGTCCATTCATCCGATCAGGCTAACATTCAGAGTCGTTGTCGCGTGTGGCCTCCACAAGAAGTGGTTTGGCATCTACCCGCCACGTACGTACGCCACATTGAATATATCCGAATGACAGAAGAGTGAAACATTGTCATCGATGGCTGACCACAAAGCAAGGAACAAGTAAAGCGTGCCAGAATACAGTCGCTCCACATCGTGATTCACTCGTTCATTGCACCACCCTGATCGCCTACCCCTTGCCCAAAATTCAAGTTTTCGCTCGACAACATCAAAAAAAGCGTAGAACACAAGAGAAGGCTCAATTATTGTGACCTCGCTGCTGTTCCTCGTTCTCTCCAGCACGAAACACGTCGAGCTCGAAGGGTACACAATTCAATAGAACCTCAGCCTGAGCATAGGGTATTTCTAAAGCCCATCACATGCTCAATATTCCTGCATCACGCCACCTCGTACTGCTGCGTGCGTTCTTGCTAAAGTATTAATATCTTGTTCCATGAGGGACAGATGCTCGTTACTTTGCATCATTTCTTTCAGTCGTAGGTCGATCGTGGAGATGATTTCGTGTGACAGGGAAGATAACGACTACATCGACTTTAGCTGCTACCGACAACGGGATATGCGTTCACTTCCCACCTCATGCTGCCGCTTTAGCTGCTGCGACGTCATACCCGTGTCCGTCCCGTTAATGTTCATCTTCGCTTCTGAAAACTGTGTTGCCGTTTACGAGAAGGGTGCGCACATATCGGGTTAACACTGACAGTTGTTTTCACTTTTGCCATGTCCGTAGGCACACAAGGACGAGGACGAATCTGCACCACCCCTACCTCTGGGGATCCAGGTATCCCCGGTCTGTTGGCAGATGCCCCAGATCAGTATCTACGGTCGTGCCGCTCCCCCCGGCGGTCAGATTCAAGGCTCCGTCCGAGTGAGTTTCATAATGTGTTTCTTGATGTAATGTTCTACTCATGCGTTCAACGGATCTCCCCCGTTTTGTACATCCCAAAGTTCGTTGGTCGGTGAACCTCGTCCAGCACCCCATCACGTACACCACCCCGTTCCCAGCCCGCCGGGTCATGGGCAAACAGACTCCTTCGCACGGTTCATGACGTTGCAAGAAGTGCTGCCTTTACGTCTTTACATCACCTTGCTCTGTTTCGACACGTTTTTCACCCCTGACCATTTCTGACAGTCGCTAGGAGGTAGACCATGGCTGGTGAGCCCGCACGTCCGGAAACGTAACATCCTCGACGCTTTTCATCATCTCTAACGGAGTCTAGGTTGCACCAGAATAACCCATAGGGGTTGTATGACCGCGTCGGCTTATATCTAAGTCCCGCCAAACTGGCGCATACGCACAGATAGCTCAAGAGGATACTGTCCCGTGTATACCATCTGGGCTGCCCGGGTCGGGGCTCCGAAGCTGGGGGGTGCGACAAGGCCATGGGGTAGGTAGAGGCTGCGAGCGACGGCAGCCCAGGAAACGACTGACAATAAACGATCCCATCAGATGGTGTCGAAAACGACACCAAGGCCGGGACTAAAAGCATCCAGAGGCTTGGCCTAGAACCAGTTTCTTCGCCAGGAAAGAAGCAGCTTGCTGGGTTCACTTGCATGTCTTCGCATCTTCCTCCGCTGGCTCACTCACCTCAGACGCTAGCCGATGGACAACGCCCTGCAGCCCCTCCCTGAGCCTGTTCCACTTCACGATCCCGGTGGGATTCGCCACTCCTAATGACGAGCCCGCCGACAGTTGAGCCTCGATCCACTCGGTAGTGGAGGAGTCTAGGTCGGCGTTCATTATGCTCTGGATCGTCACCATGTTCAGGTCCTCCGGTTGGCTGGGTTGGAAAGAGCAATTTGGGAGGCGATTCATGTATACAATAAGGTTTTTCGCTGTCAGTGGTGCTTTGGACCGTCGCCATTATCTCGCGGTGCTAAAGTAATACAAGACCAGGTGGCGACTGCTCTGCATTTGGTGAATCAATCCTGTCTCTCGGGGGGATTTTGACGGTGGCCAACATCGTAGTCCAACGTCGTTTCATGCCTGGAGGCCAGGGTTTTCCTTGCATAGACCACATTGATGGCACGGCACAGAATGCCGTACAGCGCTGTGAGTTCGTAGGGGAATTTTGAAGGGCACGGCATCGCAGTATTAGAGTAGAAGTCATAGCCCGCGCTTTGACGACCTTCACTCGCCGACAGGCCACGAGATGGTAGAAAGGATGCCCAAGCTTCATAGGCGAGTACGCCGACCCTTAGGTCTCTCCGTACCGCATCGGTGAGTGTACAAGACATAGGACGTCGCAAATGTCGATAGAAACAATGACTGTGTACTGTAGAGAGTGTTTCATTTCTCAACGGACGACGATAAGGGCACTTGTGTTCTCACCTGATGATGTTAAGCACCATTTCCAGTTTCTCTTGAGTCCTTTGATCTGGCGAGTATTTATCCAGAATGAACTCCAATGTTCGCGCGGCCTGTCATTGAAACAAACGAAGGGGTAAACCGGTGGTAGGCATGGCTTAGACGACACCTCAACAGCTGGAGAACGCGAGGGCGAGAGGAACCAAAATCAATATTGGAGACACTGTTTCAAGAAAAGGGTTTGCCCAAAGCGTTATTGCGCTGAAACCGTTGAGATATTGTGTTGTAACGTGATCCGCCTTTCCTAGGAAGAGTATATTGAGCACGTAAATGCACCGTGTGTATCGTGGTGTTGCGAAAGCAGTGCGAAAGCCATGAAAACTTGAAAGCTCCCAAACTCGAAGCCGCAACGGGCGGCGATCGTTCCGAGGGATAACTCGCACGTGGTGGTATTCTTGTGGATCAGCTAAAGGGCACCGAAACAAGAACCGCTCCCGGTCAATGCAAGCCATCAGGAAATACCTCGGATTCACACCCAATTGATGCGACCGCGTTGCCATGCTCGCCCGCCGATATGCCAACCAAAATGCCAACCGGTATTTGACGTGGTACCAAGAACGGTTTGAGGGCTGCTTGCACACTTCACCCACCCCGTTTCCCGGTATGCTAACGTTTTCTCTAGTCTGCTCTTCTGTTGGCGGCGGTCCGACGTTTTCGTTTTTTGTTTGTCTCGGGTGTGCTCTTAATGCCAGCAGGAACACAAGGCGGTACCAACAATGATAAAAAACTCTCAAAGGACTAGCATGTGACAAGAATCCAATACCGGAACTTCGTCTATCGGCGCAGGACCCATCGATAATGTGTACCGGAGTCTAGCGGCTCTATCAGCAATGGCACAGAGCGCATCGGCGGCACTACATAAAAAATCAACCTCTTGCTTGAGGAACGTGTCATTTCCGGGTCGGGCAACAGCACGTGCCTACGGAGGGGCTATCGTTGTCACTCGGCGTTTTGAGACTTCGAAAAAAGAAAACCTCATGACAGACCGATGGTAGTGTCATGCCTAATCGACTTCTTGTCTCGAGCCAGAGCAGAAAGGGCTAAGAGCCGCGGAATTGGCATGTCAGAAACTGGCAGCAGACTAGGTAGTCATTCGTGAAAATCATGTCAATATCCTGAGGGTGCTGTAGGTACTGAGGGGGGCGAGGGGGCCCCGTCTCGAACGAGGTTCACGGTTTAATGCGGAACGGCTTCAGCGTCAGGAGTTTTATTCTCCTTGCACAACCGAGTTGACGGAATCATGGCGGGGAGGGGGGGTTACCCTACTATGGTGCGCTGTATTGGTTACGTTCGAGGTTCATATTCGCACCAGCTCCTAAAAACCTGTCAATGTCTCAACATGGTTGCTGGAGGATGCATGCCGACTGGAAAGTTGGACTTCCTGCTTGTGAAAAAGTTATTCGCGTGGTCTGGAGTACAGCACCAGTGCGCCACGTGGACGCTTTTGGCGCATCCGCTGTACATCGAGTCGATGTACTCGATAGGCTATTTCGCCTACTGAAACGGTGCGTGTCTCCAGGAGATAGTTACCGTATTGGGTACGCCGCAGAATCACATACGGCGTTCGAACGAAGCCCATGCCTGCGATTGAGCTCGCGAATCTAGATGGATGCACAATTTTATCGGCCTTGGTATGCATACTGCATGCTTGACTGGCCTATTCTCCATGTTTCCGGGCCTGAAACAACTTTCCCGAACGTTGTCAGTGCTTGCTGCTACCGTGATGTCGTTCGTCAAAGATTGTCAAGCGCCATTGCCATAACCTCCCTCTATATATACACGTCTCTCTCTACTTATCTTACTCCTCTTGGCCCCTGTCTCACTCACCTGCTGCAGTGGAGTCTCCAAGGCGAAGTGCCTGTTGAAGGACTCCTCGTCCGCATCCGTCGCCCCCCCCGTCCCATCCCCCGCCTCGACCGCAATCCTTCTTGATGATCTGGCGTCTCTTCGGCTTTCCGTTGGCACGCGCACAGACCTCCGCGCGCCGACAGACACACACCCCTGCTCCATCGCATTCGCGGGCGACCCCCCTCCCACTACCGAAGGTCTACTATCCTCGCCCCA